CTGTAAGAAAAAGGCTCGCCATCACTGGGTTAGGCTTATGTGGTGGATGGTCGGTGTGCGAAAATGGAAAGATTGTAATAAAAATCACTTCCCAAAGATGGCCGCTATCACTTACATGACAACTTGAGAGATTAAAAACATTCACAAAATTTCCAACGACAGTTCCAAGATGAAGTTTCCAAATTTAGAGAAGATAATAAAAGCCAGGTCCTGCTGGAACTTTCCTTGCAAACCGCTTGTAGATTTTGTGCTCAAGATCGAAAAGAAATGAACTCTTGATGCTGGGTTTTGCTGATTCATAGAGATTGTTGTCGCAGAAATGGCTAGCATTTGTGTTTTTTTTTAAAAAAAGTTCAAGTATTTCATTAGGTTATCAAAATATAAAATACAGAAATACAACAAAAAAGAAAATCCACGGGAAAAGAGGAAAATGAAAAAGTACAGTATAGGTTAAAGAGGAGAAGAAAAAGAAAAGTATTAATTTCCTATTCCTTTTGACACAATAGAATAAGGTAATAATACAGCCGTGACTTTTTAACCTTTACATAGTAATATATACCAGCCATTTCTATAACAAGCCTATCCAATTAGCAAAATCCAAAATCAAAGTTTCATTTTTCCCCCACCCAAAGCATAAAGTCCAAAAGTGGTTTCCAATTAGACACAGAAATGACTAGTATTTGATAACCTAGTAAAGTTAAGTGTTAAGCTTGTAATTTTATTTGTCCCCAATGTGAGTGACGTTGAACTGGCCATACCCTCCCTGGCCACACCCACCTCAGCCCCCCAAGGTCAAACACAATCCTGATGTGATCCTCAATGAAATTGAGTTAGACACTCCAGCTCTATATCTACACCTCTCTTCCTTCTGTCTTCCCCTTCCACATTTTCCTCTCACCCAAACTTCGTTCTTTCTAAACTTGAAAAGAAGCCAAAAACTAAGATTTATTTGCTTCTTCTTCTTCCCCTTTCTCCTTCTCTTCTTAACAGTTTTGGGTCCTTCAGTAAAAGCAAAGAAACGCTGCAATGGTGTTACTAAAATACCGTGACCCGACACTTGCGCGATAGACATATGCGCGCCGACAAAATAGCGCCAATTAAAACGCTATGTCAAAATCGCGCCCACAAATTTGTGACGACAAAAGCGCGATGACAAGCACAATAAAATCGAAAAAATTACTGTTAGGGTTAGGGTTAGGACTAAGCATATGTCTATCGCGATTTTGTCATTGCGCATTTGTCATCGCGCTATTGTTGAAAATCAATTAGCGATTTTGACGGCGCTCATTTGTCCATCACGGTTTTGTCGGCGTGCATATGTCTATCACGCATTTGTCGGTGAACCCTAAAATACAATTCCATGTCAAAAATACTTTGCAATATAATAATATTACAATTATGAAGTGGTATATAAGTCTAAGTGCTATTACTAGAACTCTTAGGAGCCCTGATGGTGCAATGGTTAAATTGCAGTATTGCAGGCAAACTCTGCCCACAGTCAGGAGTTCGATCCTGACAGGACTCAAGGTTGACTCGGCCTTCCATCCTTCCGAGGTCAGTAAAATGAGGACCCAGATTGTTGGGGGCAAGATGCTGACATTGTAAACCACCGAGAGAGTTCTGTGAAGCACTATGGGGGTGGTGGTATATACTGTATTTTTCGGAGTATAAGATGCACCTTTCCCCCCCCAAAAAGAGGGTGAAAATGCAGCATTTTTGCTTTCCAACCCCACCCCAGGAGCACTCTACAAGTCTCCCAAAGCCAATACATGCCCTGTTTTTGGCAAAAAAGGGCCCCGTTTTTTTTGCTTATTTTTGGCCCACCCCCACAAGGCGTGCAGAGGGTTTGGGAGGCCTGCAAAGTCCAAAAACTTTGTTTTAAAATTTACCTCTTCAAAATCTTGGTGCGTCTTACACTCCGGTGCATCTTATAGTCCGTAAATTACGTTAAGTCTAAATGCTACTCCCATTGGTTTAATAAATGTGCCATCCTTTCCTTACAGGGGCCAGAATCTCTCCAACGGTGGGACTTTTCCAAGACCTTTCCCCTTCAATGGAACTGAGATGCCGGGAAACCCAGGGATGAACTGCTCGGAACCCGGAAGAGTTTTCCAACACACCTTTTATGCTGCCACCTACAGCATCATCTTCATCCCAGGTCTCCTAACCAACAGCATTGCTCTCTGGATGCTCTGTCTCCTTATCCGAAAGCAAAACAAAGCCATCATCTTCCTGCTGAATCTGGCCACCGCAGACTTCATTCATGTCCTCTCCTTACCTCTGCGGATTTATTACTATGTCAACTACAGGTGGCCCTTTGGACTCTTCCTCTGCCAGCTTTGCTTCTACCTGAAGTACCTGAACATGTACGCCAGCATTTGCTTCCTCACCTGCATCAGCGTGCAGCGATACCTCTTCCTGCTCCATCCCTTCAAGGCCAAAAACTGGAAGAAGCGCTACGATGTCGCCATCTCGGCCGCCGTCTGGTTGGTGGTTGGTGTAGCTTGCCTGACCTTCCCTTTGCTGAGAAACACCGGGAGTTCGGAAACTTGCTTCTCGGATCTCAACATTGAAAAGTTCCAGAACAAGGCGGCTCTGATCGGGATGCTGATAGCGGCTGAACTGGTTGGGTTTTTGTTCCCTCTGGCCATCATCGGCTACTGCACTTCCAAAATCAGGGCGTCCCTCCGGGAACACCAAATGCCTTTACAAAACACTGGCGAAAAACAGAAGGCGCTACGGATGGTGTCGATGTGCGCCGTGGTGTTTTTTGTCTGCTTCGCCCCCTATCACCTCATGTTTTTCTTCTTCATGTTGGTGAAGGAAGATGTGGTGAAGGGCTGCGCTGTAAAACAAGGCATCTTGTATCTGCACCCCTTCTTCTTAAGCCTGGCCAGTTTCAATTGCTGTTTGGACCCATTCTTGTATTTCTTTGTGACCTCGGAATTCCACGATCGGATACCAAGCTACAGCAGCTGGTCCTTCCGAAGTCGTTTGTTAAGCAAGGAAAGCACCGCTTCGGTGAAGGGATAAATTAGCTGGATTTCAGGCTGGACAGAGGATTGGGGCATCTAGAGGAGGGACCCTAAGCTCTTGTCATTTAAACTGTGTCGCCTGATACCCTGTAGCACAGGGGCCCTCAAATTTTTTAAATGGGGCCAATTTGCGGTCCCTCAGACTGCTGTGGGGCCGGACTGGCTGGGTGGGTGCGTGTGGCTAGGTGGTCATGTGATTAGGTGGGTGTGGCTAGGTGGTCATGTGACCAGGTGGGCATGGCCAATTTAGCAGTCCATTAAACAATACTCACAAATTAAACTTTAATTTGCTTTGCTCCTAGGAGTGGAAAGCGTGTTAGTGAAGGGATGTGGCTGCCTTGAGGGGGGGGGGGGTCNGCTGGCTCATATTTAAATGGCTGTTCACTAGGACTCCAAGATCCCTTTCACAGTTACTGCTATTGAGCGAAGTACCATGTATATTGTAGCTGTGCATTTTGTTTTTCTTGCCTAAATGGAGAACCTTACTTTTTGTAATTCTGGGAGTTGAAGTCCACACATCTTCAAACTGCTAAGGTTGAGAAACACCGACAAAGGTCTTTTAAAGATGATAACTGATAATTGAATTGCACCCAGAAATAAATTAGGAGCCAGTGCCTTTCATGCAACAACAGTGTAAAATGGACAAACTAAGGGACACTTATCCCTGCATGAGCTACCGCATTTCTGAACCACTTGTAACTGCTAGCCCCACATAGTGTACATTGCAATAATCCCACTAGGAAATGAGCAAGGATTGACTGTGAGCAGGGCCTGCTAGTCCAGCAATGGGTGCCATTGGCACACAAGATACACCTGGGTAATGATAGGGGGCCACTACCCACAGCTATCCCTGTCCCTTGAGCAGAACTGGTGAATTGCAAAGTCCATTTTTAGGGGGAATAGATGCTCATCAGGATTGTGCTTTGCATTTCAACAGCATAAATTAGGGAAACCTATTTATCAGATCACAGAAGGAAGGTGTATCACACGTGACACAAAATCGGTTTTGTCCAAATGCTGCATGCAGACCTTCCGGTATTCCAAATCAGAAATCTGCAAAAATTACAGGTATCTTTGACTAACATGAACTCTTTGAGAGCACATAATCTTTATAGATTAAAACATTTTTATAGCCACGGTTTTAGAGCCTCTAAGTAAAGATCAGATACCACAATAAATAGGTGGTACGCTACGGTAGCCTTTTCAATATCAGCTCAAATCTCTTTTGGGTAATAGCTAGATAGATAATTTATTAACTGATTAGTCTTATGACCAAATCAAAAATATAAAGCAAAATACAGGATCTAATTCCAGGGTAAAATAGTAGAATTCTGGGCAGAGGTGGAGACGGTGGGCTATTTTATACAACAAATGTGGCAAACCTTTTGCACTGCTTATTCCTTCCCCTTTTAGTATTAAATCAACTACCGGCTTCAAAGTTTATGGATTGTAATTTTAGTATAGTTAGACCCATGTATAAATGACAGGCTGGATTTTATCATAGACTTTGGTTGTTATTTATGATTTTCTTCCAGAATTTTTAATTGTGTATTAATTGAGTGGTTTTTTTTATTATTTCTTCTGGCCTCTGTCCCATGTAATGAATTGAATTGAATTCTGGGCAATAGAAATATTAGAACTTGGGAAGAGAGGGATAGGAGAGAGGGTAAGGGGGGAAGATGAGGAGGATGAGGATAAGTGGAATGTAGAGAGACGAGAAGGAGAAAGGAAGGGGAAGTAGAGTAGGAAAGGAAGATGGAGGGAGAGGTAGAAGAAAGAGGTGTATGGAGAGTAGAAGAGCTAATAATGGGTGTTAATCTTTTGGGGGCATTGAGGACAAGAGGAATTGATGTAATCATTATTTAATACTATATGATACTGGCTATGTATAGTATGCATGT